TATTGTCATTAGTGATTATCTCAATTTCTGATAAAAGAATTGACAAAGTCCTACACACTGTGCCTTTAAACATAAAAACAATTTTAACAACAATTAAAGGTGACAGATACTTTATTATGGTATAGTATTTAAATATATGCCTGAGAAACACACAATATTGCCCCTATATAACAATATGTGCTTTTGTTTCACTTTTTTACACTAAATTTTTAAACTATTTTTCTTCCAATGTATAAAAAAACTGATATTTGTACAAACTGAACTTTTAGAGAAATTTTACTTTTTAAATTATTGACATTTGCAAAGAAAAACTTTTAATTTCCAAATAATTTTTATGAACTCATTCTCATATTGCAGTCTTTTTAGACTGACACAGTTAAAACTTGTATAAAACTAGCCRGCTAGTTTGTTCATCTAAAGCTGTAGTACAAGTACAACTGGTGGTATGTAAAATCAATTTTGTGGTACTTAAAAAATAACTCAACTTTATACTCCCAGATCAAACTTTGTAAAATGCTCATCGTGCTTACATACAGGTAACTTATTAATAAAGATTTGATCATTTAAACCTAAATAATGAAAGAAAAATAAAAAAAAAGAATAAATGTTCAAACTTGATTTGGACAAATAGTGAGTCTGCTTCAGCATATAAAAAGCATTTTATAAATGAATGCTTATAAAGTGCTTATATAGGTTGTTCATGAGTTTGTAAAGTGCTAATAATCCATTATAAGAGAGACTTTATTGTGAAATGTTTGAAGCCAACAGTGTCAAGAAGGCCTGAGGGAAAAGGGCTTGCAGAATATTTTATAACCGACACCGTGAAGAAAGGAAGCACCGAAATTAYGTCAAATGTGTGCAAAGGTCAGCTTTGCAAAGCAAATTAAATGCATCTGGTTTCAGGTTTTTTTTTTTCTGCTGCTTTCAGTGTATGAAAGATATACAAGAGAAGACGTTAATTTACTCCAATCGCAGAACTTTAAAGTCAATAAAACAGTCAATAAAAACTGATTTGTTTGACAACGGATGCTCGTAGAAGCAAGGTAATACCAACAAAAATAAAAATAATCCATGACCAATGTGTTTTTTTCCATCAGGACTGACTGGAGTGCATTACGTAAATATAAAAATATACAATTTTGTGCAAAAGGGCAAAAAAAAAAAAAAATCCCTCAAACGCGTGGTCAATGATCATGTGATGTGGGGTTTTAAGTCAACTGCAGTGCTTTCATATTTGAAAGGGGGAAAAAAAATCAACTTAAAGTGGAACTAATCATTCAGCTGCATTCTTTATGCCCTTCAGAAATTTGCCTAATAGTAACATCTTATTCCAGTTAATTACCACTGGATATTCCTGTTACTCCTGATTTTTTCCTCAATGTAAATGAATAAATCACAGCAATGTAATATCTTGCAACTGCTTATTAATGGTTGTGCATAAGAATGCTCCTCAAACTGTGAGTTCATTTCTGTTTCACCCTGAAAACTTAAGGTTAACCATTAAATCACACACACACACGTTCTTACCTTTAAGATGTTGGCGGAAATCTTCTCTATCAGATTTAATTCACCTTCTTTTATCCACGACATGATTCGCAGGTTTCACACGACCTGAAATGATGTGATTTTTAAAATGATTTATTTAAAAGTTAACGACAGAAGATGAAGCCCCCGCCGTGTGCGTTCAAATTATATCACATAACGAGTTATGTTTACGTTAAAATATCACATTTCATCTGCAGTCGGTGAGTGATTTCAATCCGTCAACTGGTGCCAGTGTCGAGCTCGTGAGACAAGCACTGAGAAGCCCCGAGGTTTTTCCTTAACGGCACTAAGTCAAAGCATTTTTCGGCAGAAAAGACTCACCGTCAGAGAAAACAGCGTCTTTCATTCAAACTGCTGAAGCACGAGTTGTTCTTCTGTCAAAGCTACGAGCGTTTCCTCACATTTCGTACACCTTCCAACTCACAGCTCTTTACGATGACGATCACTTCCCTGTTGGAGCGGCGTGACGCTTTACGCACGATGACGACTTCCTGTCGGGCGTCAGTAGATCTACAAAACATGCGGATAGACGCAGTTTTAGAACATGCTAACAAAACGAGACCAAGAATAAGAACCCATTTAAAGTACCACATGCATTCAAAGTACTACACTTTGTAGTATTCGTTATGTCAACTTTGGGTTCTGGGCTTGTCTTATAGAACAAGTAAAACACTCCATTAATAATACTAGCAATAAAACCAACAATAGTAACAATGAAACGAAAGCCATGTGTTAATTTGATTTAAAATCGTTTTTTATAATTTTCTGTACAACTCAGCCTCTTTTTGATGTGTCTCATCATTAGTAATCTGAGTTCAATTCCTGAAGAAAATTAAAAAGTCAATTTTTACACCAAAGGCTGGCAATGACAAATGTTTGTACGTCTGGAGTGTAGTTCCATCTTTAACCACTGGGGTGTGACAGCAAGTTCATCAACGGTTCGTTTGAACTTTTTAAAATGGCAGTGAAGAAGTTTTAGTTTTTTTTTTTTAATGGGGAGTSGGGGGAGAGGGGCTGGCCTTTTTTTGTTCCGCTGTTGAATCCTGCYTGAACTGTGAGAAGAAGCAAAACACGCCGACGACAAATCACAGCCCGGCGGGCAGTTGACTAAAATCACTGCGCCCGGAGGAGCTCGCGCAGCGCGGAGGATGTGAGAAGGCTAAAATGCAGAAAATGTTCTCCCTCCTCCAGCTCCGCTGCTAGCAGCTCCGGGGTCAGCGGGCAAGCCGGTCGTTAGCCTCAACTCCCCGGTCTCTGTGGGTCTTGGGGAGGGGGTGGGTGCGGGGGGGATATCTTGGTTTGGGGCAGGGGGCGGGGGTACACCGAGAAGGGAGACGACTACACGCCGAGAGGAGGGGGCTGGAAGTCTGAGACGCCTCCAGCCTTGAAGGGGCCGGCGGTTTGGCCACAGCACCCCGGACTAGCTAGCTTGTACCTGCGCGGCTAAGTGAATGGGATGGAGCCGGGACCGTCTGGCGCTGGTAGGTGTATTTTACTTTAAATATTTTAAGCATTATAAATCTGTACTCGTGGCTGCAGATGTATATATTTACAGAAACAGAGAGGGTGGTACGTACAAGAATATGCTTGGTGTCAACCCTCTTCCGTTAAACCGCAGCCCTTTAGTGAAGCGATGAAAACGACTCTCCTATCTGAATTTGCCACACAGTGATCAGAAAACGCTATTTGCTTTTATTTATGCGCACAGACGAGCCTTGTTAAAAGCGCTCCTCGTCCATGTGCGGGGGCAGGGAGGTCGTGGGAATCTCGGTGAAGCCCGCCTTCAGCAGCAGGAGCAGCTGGYTGTTCCCCGCATGTCCCGCACAGAACACCGGCCTCCCCTCTCACTGCTGGACCCTCACACTGATTTTTTTTAAAACAGTTTAACCCTGGCACCTTATTTGCAACATAAATACAATTTCTGGGGCCTTCAACATGAAACTTAATCGTGATACTTGCTCATTTGTTGCTGGAGTTGTATAACTAGAATTAGAAACTCCCCAACCTCTGGCTTATTTCTTACTCTGTGCTTGTTTCCCTTTCAGATTTACAGACAGAGTTGATTGGTGCCGGCTAGAGATGATTTTTGTTTGGACTAGTTCTTTGTTGACATAGATGTGGAAGTGAGCAATTAAAGGAAAAACTAGGGAACATTTCCTGGTCTGAAGTGAGCAGTTGTGGGTGATCATTGTCATTATTAATCCAGGGTCAAATCTATTCAGAAGGCACTTCGAACACTTTTGAAAAGTAGAAATAAAGTTCTCGAATTGTTGCTTTATTCGTGCATCCACACCAGACATTATAAATGTATTTCTCAACCCCCCCTTTCATTTTGAAGTCTGCTTTGGTGTTTAAAATGTGACAATAGGTGCAGTTTTTCCAGTTACCTCAGACGATCAGACGCCAAGGGAAGTCACAAATGCGAATCTTTGTTTTATTTCTTCTTCCTGTAACCTTGACGTGTGGTGATGAGCACCAGGGTCTTCCAGTAATCAAATGAACTGGTCCATATTTTTGAAATTTAAGGGGTGTGTCTCATTGGATCGTTTAGTTTTATCACCTCCTACACTGGAGATCTGCTTTTATATCAAGCTTTATTGTTTTCGCTTCTTACTACATTTTGAGGTGAAAATGTATTCAAATAATAATAGAGGAACTTTACCATCTTACTTGTAGAAACAAAAAATGTAAAAATAAACACAGCGTACTCTAGATGTAACTTTCTGTTATTATGAGGACAATAAGAAATAGTGAGTGTTTTCTAGTTGTGATGCTCCACTTTAAGTCTTGCCGCCTGGGAGAGAGACATGTCTATTGTGTTGGGATATGTGAGAGCGCTGGCTCCTCTTCTCACCATCTGCCTTTACTGGCACCAGGGAGAAAGCGTGCGTCTTTGTGCACCAATCGCAGCCGCGTTCGCACGTTCTTCGCACACACGCGCCCTCTCCCGCTCGTGGAGTACGTGTGGTCACCGCATGTCTCGAATCTGTGTTTGCTGTGTTTGTCGGAGGTGTGATTCTGCACACAGGACTGTCCCGGTTTGAGGCTTTCTGATGCTCGGTTCTTCACGATATGAGGCCAAAGAGGCCAAGGTCTCCTCAGCACGACCACAGTGGCCTCCTCCAACAGCCCCACACTCACACACACACACACAAGATCCCCTTATATCCATGACAATACCGTGTTGCTGTGGTGTCTCCATGGTGAGGCTGGGAATGTAGAGGGAGGGGGGGCCTGTATCAGCGTGGTCGTCGCAGGGAGGACACTCCCTCTGTAGTACAGCCGTGTGTTTGTGTGTGTGTGAGATGGAGGAGCGGGGCAGCTGGGGTCTTTGTTGGGATGGAGGAGGGCTTCTCTCTGGGGACCTCAAGGTTAAGGCAGTGGGGCCCTCTCATGCAGGAGTCACAGCTAGCACCCAGTCTAGCCCCCCACCACCACACACACACACACACACACTGTCTGTGTCATGTGTTTCGACTCAATTACAATTTTTTAAGAAGTGAAACTTTGATGCTCATTGAACTTACCAGTCTGATTGAGGTTACATGATACAGTGTGTGTTTTCAGAGAGCGTATCAATCAAACATGGTGTGTGTATTAACTCACACACAAATGGTTTGTTACATGCATATTATTAAGGATGCAACGATTTGAAAATTTTAGCCGATATCAATATCCGATGTAATTAKTGCTGTTATGGCCAATAATCGATATTTACTGATATTGCACAAACACACAAATTATATTATACATAAACACACAAACACTGTCTTGGGTGATCCGGTTCCCCGGCACAAACAGAGCAATGTTGTATATGCTGTTAAGTGCCAGGAGGACTGCGACCATTTGTACATCGGGGAAACAAAGCAACCACTGCTCAAAAGAATGTCCCAACACAGACGAGCTACTAATGGCCAGAACTCTGCAGTTTTCACTCATTTACAGGCCAGCGGTCACTCTTTCAGAGATGAGGATGTTCTCATTCTTGATAGAGAGGAACGTTGGTTTGAGAGAGGAGTAAAAGAAGCCATTTTTGTGAAGAAAGACCGTCCATCATTAAACAGAGGTGGAGGCCTCCGTTTTCAGTTGTCCCCCTCCTACAGTGCTGCTATTGCCAGTATCACTCCTCCCCCTGTTAACAATAGGTGTTAATTAGGTGTCAACGATAGCCATGTGATGTGAGTATCAGTCACATGGAGGCAGTGCTTAAAAGCCTGAATTTTGCCTGAAACTCTCAGACTGAAGAAGTCTCTTGGAGGAGAGACGAAACGTTTCGTAAGACCTACACAATTTTTTTCTTTTAGATTTTTTACCTGGATTACTGAGACGCACCAGGACACTGTCTTGGGTCTTATTCCGATACCGTAAATAAACGACCAGACCCCTGACATGGCTCTACTTCAGTTATTCCTGGCTACGCAGCGTCAATATCACTATCATGATCAAACAGATGCCGCTCAACCAACCATCTCCCCTCCCAAAATAGAAACACAAAGCTAAAAAGTGGGAAATCAATATCGGACGTTAATATCAGTCCAGTTTTACATATTGGACCGATACGATATTCTAAAAAATTGCCAATATCGGCTGATACTGATATCAGTACAGATATATCGTGCATTACATATTATYGTTCTAATCAACCATTAAATCAAAGCTTTCTAAAAGATATGTCTTCCGAAATATTATTTTGCCATGTTTCRGCTGACAGACTGTCTCTGCTGACTGCTGAACCATAGGAAAATCCCTTTAATGTCACTGTGAAGCTTGGAGTTTCCACTTTTCAATCTGCAGAGTGAGTCTCTGCCCCAGGCTTTAGTCAGAGTCCCTTCTGGGAGTTTTACTTCCTAGATGCCCCCACTCTGGAGGTCCTTTGGGCATGCCTTCCTGACCCTGCTGGGAAAAGATCCCAGGTCAAACCCAGAAGCCGCTGCAGGGATTGAGTGTTCTCTCTAGCCTGGGAGCACGTTCGGACCCCCCCAGGAGGACCCGGAGAGTGTCGCTGAGGAGGAATGTCTGGCTTCCCCTTGTGAACTTAACTCTGAACCTACATGACCTGACCACAGAAAAGTGTCAGAAAATAGATTAATGGAACTATTGCCTTCAAAATGGTTGCAGTTTATACAAGCGCACTTGCTCGAGGTCAAGTAGTTTGCTTAATTAGTAAGCTATTAATTATATCAAACAAGTGCTAATGATAATTTCWATCAAATGTAGGTTGAAACACTGTCATCTGAAATATACAGAAGGGAAACAGGCTCAAACTAGATGAGAAACAGCCTAACTCTGACAGTAAGGTGAGGTTGTTGAAGACAGTTTCATGTGGCAGGTCGAACATCAGGACATGACTGAGCAAAACAAAATGTGAAGTAAATCTACTAGAGGAGCAAGTCCTCTCCTAGGTAAACATTTCAAAGCTGATTGATCTGTTTAAACTCTCYAAAGAAGCACATATCAGCAGATAACAGTTAGTCATAATCTTAACTKCAAGTGTTTCTGAAACTTTGTGAAGAAACTGAAGTGTTTTAAGACAGGGCTTTCCTGTTTCAAGACTGGGCTTTCCTGAAAGCAGACAGGAAACACAGACAGGATTCCATGCAACCTTCAGGTGAAAATGAAGACCCCAAACCAGTGGTTATTCTGTATGTTGCGGGTGTCTCGGAGAAACGGAGACGTTTATTTTCTAAACATGATGTCCCAGTGGCTTTCAAAC